TTGTGTCACAGATCAAATTTATTCGTTCAGTGTTTTTGTTAATATGTCTTTTGAGTTAAGCCATTTCAATTGATATTTTATAGTGTGTCTTTCTATGTTGTGAAGTTACACTATTGTTTCAGGTAGGGTGAAGGTTTGCGCCTGTTAAAACGTTTAAACCCGCTGCATTTGTTTGCACCTGTCCTAAGTCAGGAACCTGATGTTCAGTGGTTGTCGTTTGTTGATGTGGTTCATAAGTGTTTCTCGTTTCTCGTTTTTTATATAGATTAGAGCGTTGGTTTTCCTGTTTGAATGGTTTTACAATAGTCATTTTTGGGGCCCTTTATAGCTTGCTGTTCAGTGTGAGCCAAGGATCCGTGCTGAAGGCCGAACTTTGACCTATAATGGTTTACTTTTACAAATTGTGACTTGGATGGAGAGTTGACTCATTGGCACTCATACCACAACTTCTTACATCTACGAACTCCTTACAAACAATAATCAAAGTGATAGAAATCACTCATGAAAAGATTAGAAGATTAGTTTGAATAATTTCAAACTATAATTAGGTATGGTGTGGACACAAAAGAACATTTATATAGCGCTATTGCAGACAATTGCATTAACTGCAGGTCTTGGATGGATAAGTACTTTTTCAGTCGGGTCCTTTAATTTGTACATTAATTTCGTTGTTTAAATTGCAATTTCATATCTTAACCAAATAATGTTCCCTGTTACATGTTTCACCTTTCATCTTTAGAAACAGAAGAAATGACCAAATAACGATTCTTCTAATAAAGTTTATCAATTATCCTTGTATGCCATGGGACCAACATGCAGATAGACTTGAATCTAAGTTCGTTATTGTTTCCAAAAATTAACATAAAAAGGTGTTTTGGGGAATTTTGTAAATTGAAACATAGATATACTATTTTTTTTCCTCTAAGAATTTCTTGTTGATTTTGAAAACAGTTATCATGATTATGTGACACTGAAGATTCTCGCCGAAAACAGTACAGCTATGTCTCGCCTTCGAGAATTCCTCGAGGCGAGATAAAAACTCATTAAAGACATACCAGGCTTATAAATTGTTATGTCAGACGAGCGCTTCGTTTACATTAGACTCATCAGTAGCTGTCGAATCAAAACAGTTGGAAGGAAAAATCAAATACGCAGTTGAAGAGCGAAGAAAAAAATCCCAAAAAGTTGTGCCAAATACGGTTATGGCCATTTATGCCTGGTGGTGGAAAAACCTTAGTGTTTCGAATAATTAAAAATTCAAGAAACAGGAATTTACAGAAAATAACCGTATCATTTACATTTCATGTCAATACAGTGCGGACTACAGGGCTGGTGATATCCTCGGGGAGGAAATTTCAACCAGCAGTGTAACTGTTATCAAATCCCATATCTCTCTTGAACCAGCATGGCAGCGTCCAACGAGTTCGCCTGAAAACAAGCTGTAGCTTCGAAATATGAAGATAACAGACCATAATATAATTTACTATTAACCAAATTAATATAGTTACTACTAACATATATAACTGTAAAATATAGAAAAATTAGGTCCTATAATTGTAATTTTGAGCATTCTGAGTGGAAAAGTCCCATGCGACTTTACAAAATTCCAGAAATGATTATATTAACCTGACATTTATTTATTCAGACTATCCGATATTTTGCAATGCTCTTCAACTTCGTACTTTATTTCGCCTTTTTAACTTTTTTGATTGGAGCGTCACTGAGGAGTCTTTTTATAGACGAAACGCGCGTCTGGCGTACAAAATTTCAATTTCTGGCATCTATGATGAGTTTATTTGCTTACCTACAAAACTCAACTTACCATCGTCTGACAAGCTGGTAAGCGTGCATTATTTAAAAAATAAATTATAAAAATTTATATGAAGAAGCTGCACACATGGTTGCATTCCGAATCTCAGTCAACAAACTGGCCTAATGGATAAAATGACAACTGTTTACAACTGTTATATTATGAACATTATGGGAAATTATCACACTAGTATGTAGTTCATTGGATTGATGAACTTTACAAGCAAAACATCAGAAAACAGAAAAATCTGCATTGAACAATTAACTAATTAAAAACAGACACGTTTACAGACATGAAATTAAGGCCATAGTATGCGGTATGGGCTCTGCTCATTGTTGAAGGCCGTACGGTGACCTATAGTTGTTAATTTCTGTGTCATTTGGTCTCTTGTGGAGAGTTGTCTCATTGGCAATCATACCACATCTTCTCATTTTTATATGTTGAACCCTTTGCTGCACAAAATTACTGTATTCATAAACACTGGTCTTAACACTGGTCTTATCCAGAGAAGGTTTGGTACCATTAAAACGTTTAAACCCGCTGCATTTGTTTGCACCTGTCCTAAGTCAGGAATCTGTTGTTCAGTGATTGTCGTTTGGTGATGTGGTTCATAAGTGTTTCTCGTTTCTCGTTTTTTATATAGATTAGACTGTTGGTTTTCCCGTTTGAATGGTTTTATACTAGTAATTTTTTGGGGCCCTTTTTAGCTTACTGTTCGGTGTGAGCCAAGGCTCCGTGTTGAAGACCGTACTGTGACCTATAATGGTTTACTTTTATAAATTTTGACTTGGATGGAGAGTTGTCTCATTGGCACTCATACCACATCTTCTTATATCTATCAAGAACTCATAAAGACACACCCATACCTAAAAACGTCCCTGTATTATTAATAATTGTAGACAAAATGGTTAATTTTCACAAATGCCAACCTGATGAATGAAATAACCAATACCGTTAATCTAAAAGCAACAAAAGCTATTAAGAAAATTGATATTGCTGAACAAACAATGGTCAAACATGTAGACAAAGATAGAAGTTAAAACAATTAGTCAGGATTGTGAGTTGACATTAGTGTGACACTTTATTAGCCTGACAAGTACACTTTTCAGGCACATTTTACAACTGCCCTAGAAAAGTTTTGTCCTGAGCAATCTTAACCATTTGATGCTAAGTTGAAGGTAGAAGAAAGTTATAACAAATTACTAGAAAATAACTGCAAGAATTAAAATCTGATATCACGAAATTTAAATAGTCATTAAAGACCAAACCTGAGAATGACGTATAATGGGCGCCATGCATTACTTGAAAAAAAATAAATGGGGAATGTGTCCATGGGACACAGATGATGCCCCCGCTTGCATATCATATAAAGTTATAAAGGGACATAACTGAAGAACGGTAAAAGTGACGTTACCCAAATTTGTACTTATCTGAGTTTTGTGGTAATAAGTATTGTGTATAAGTCTCATAACATTTGGTTGAGGCAAACTTAAGTTAGGGAACGGAAACGAAAAATTCAGCAATTTTTATGTTTATAAAGGGGCATAACTCTAGAACAGTAAAAGTGACGCCACCCAATTTCAAACTTGATCTGTATTATGTAGTTATAAGCATTGTGTATAAGTTTCATAACATTTGGTTGAGGCAAACTAAAGTTAAAGAATGTAAACGAAAAATTCAGCAATTTTTCAATTTGTAAAGGGGCATAACTCTAGACCGGTTATAGTGACACCACCAAAATTCAAACTTGATCTGTGTTTTGTGGTAATAAGCATTGTGTACAAGTTTCATAACATTAGGTTGAGCCAAACTAAAGTTAGAGAACGGAAACCAACTTTGGGACGTACGGACAAGGGTAAAACTTAATGGCCCCTCCGCTACGGCGGGGGCATAAAAATACGTTGACTCTGTTCAAGAATTTGTTAAACGCTGATTACTGGAAACCTAGATGGAGACAAAAAAAAAACCCAAAAAACAACGAATGAAACTACAAAAATAACATAAGAAAAGTCTTTCAAAGATTTACAGAATACAGAGTACAAATACATGAAATTGATGAGAAATTTCACATCATAAACATGTCATTGAACGATACGACCTACATAGTTGATCAATAAGAAAATGTAATTGTAATCTTGAAACTAACAATGAGTCATGACAATATCAATTCGTTTCAGGGAAAGAGTTAAACACAGAAATTACATAAAAAGTGACAAACATATTATTATAATAGGAACCTGTCTTCAATATTAAATACTGATGATACTGAAGAAGCTGTTCAAGTATTACACGATGCTCTGGTTGTCCTCGTCTTACATTCATTTAAAAATGAACTCAAAACAAAACCAAAGGAAGAGTGTTGAGCGTAATGCTTAAAGATAAATTTAACTAGACATACAATGTTACACTGTGAAAAAAAACAGCAACATGACATATAAAGGGAGACCAATCCAGAAGATTTTAAGTTCTAGACTATCATTTGTCAAATAGTGGTATTGCGATGTTTGCAGCAAACATGCGTGACAGTATGAATCAAGTACTTGATTTCGCCAGCGCCCATCAAATTATGCAGCTTACAAAAGGATTGATTGAAAGGCACAATAAACTCTTCACGATAACTTGCAAGGTGATCAGTGTGATCCAATTTAAACAAAAAGAAAATGAGGAGTATTAATGGAGGACGGGGACCATGGATAGGATTTAGAGGTGTGTGGATTCACATGACCAGGGATGTATGTTTGGCAGGCGATGCTTACCCGGTTGACACATCAGGTCTTGGCCCTTTTAAAATTCAAGTGACTCTCTCTGTTTTTTATTTACCTTGATTTGTACGTTTTTGATGGATTTATGAAAATTGACCATAGTTAAACTACTGTCAAAAAATGAAATCTGATGTCAGGGAGGACTACTTCTATTGTGCCCGACAAGGTGTTTGGACATACATATATATAAATATATACAGACAAAGAATTTCAAAATCTGTTCTGTTACAGTATCATCTTCTTTAGTTTGTTATATTCCATAACAACATCTAAGGGAATTATACTATATTGCCAATCCTTGGTTTTGTCCATTGTTCAAATTTATTTTCTTCTTCTGAAAGTACATGACAAATGGAACCAAACACTTTTGTTATATAATGCTTGTCTTGTATATCTCCAAGGTTGGATAAATAAGAAAAGATAATGACTTCTATTTTAGTCTATATTTTAATAAGCAGGATTCTATATTAGCTGCTCTGTGACAAAATACAGATATTTCTATTCAGGATTATGCCATTAAACAGATATACAAACATATTATTTATATATTCTAGTACAATAATTATGTACATAATCATTTACAAAACTGATAATCTACTTGAAAAGGTTTAGATGCATTTTAATAAGATTTCAGGAATAGGTTTTTTTTTACAAAAAATGATTAAAACAGTAGACTTTCCTTTAAATTCAAAAAAATTGAGAACATAAACAAAAATTTGTATCATCTTTCAGTTCCTTTTTTTTTATATTAAATTAAGATAGTGATTGTTGTTTAAAAAATTAGCAATTCAAAATCACAGTTATTTTTTTCAGGTTGTAAAAAAAAAAATTTGTAAGGGTTCCGCGGAACCCAGTGTCTCGCCTACTTTTTCTGTTAATCGCAGGCTCTACAAAAATGAGGAAGTAAATCAATAAAAATATTCCACTTGATACTATCTTTTGATTGTAAGAAGCTTCAGTCCAAGTTTGGTAAAAATCCAGGATAGTTTATGAATCTAATAAATGTTTAAAAACTTTAACTGCAGACTGAATGTAATTTTATCTGGAAGAAAACAAAATTTCCTTCTAGATACTAGCATTTGATCATAAACAAGCTTCTGTCAAAGTTTGATACAAATCCAAAATAGTATGAGAAAGTTATTAAAATTTTAAAAACTTTAACCACAGAGTGAATGTGTTGTTTCCTGGCAGAAAATCTAAGTCCATTTAAAAGTAAAATACGGAAAAAATAGATTTATTTTTTTACAAAATTTCCTTCTAGATACTAGCTTTTGATTATAAACAAGCTTCTGTCCAAGTTTGGTACAAATCCAAAATAGTATAAGAAAGTTATTAAAATTTTAAAAACTTTAACCACAGAGTGAATGTGTTGTTTCCTGGCAGAAAATCTAAGTCCATTTAAAAGTAAAATACGGAAAAAATAGATTTATTTTTTTACAAAATTTCCTTCTAGATACTAGCTTTTGATTATAAACAAGCTTCTGTCCAAGTTTGGTACAAACCCAGGATAGTTTAAGAAAGTTATTAAAATTTTAAAAACTTTAACCACAGAGTGAATGTGTTGTTTCCTGGCAGAAAATCTAAGTCCATTTAAAAGTAAAATAAGGAAAAAATGGATTTTTTTTTTTACAAAATTTACTTCTGGATACTATCTTATGATCATAAACAAGCTTCTGTCTAAGTTTGGTACAAACCCAGGATAGTTTAAGAAAGTTATTAAAATTTTAAAAACTTTAACCACAGAGTGAATGTAATATTTCCCAGCAGAAAAACTAAGTCCATTTATAAGTAAAATACGGAAAAAATGGAATTTTATTTTTACAATATTTACTTCTGGATACTATCTTATGATCATAAACAAGCTTCTGTCCAAGTTTGGTAGAAATCCAGGATAGTTTAAGAAAGTTATTAAAATTTCAAAAACTTTAACCACAGAGTGAATATTTGTGGACGCCGCCGACGACAACGACGACGACGACGACGACGACGCCGACGGAATGTAGGATCGCTATGTCTCGCTTTTTCGACTAAAGTCGAAGGCTCGACAAAAATTGGATGGAAATATTGATATTGAAATTAACATCATATGAGTATTCTTTTCTCTCTACAGATCTGATAATATGCTAAATAAGCTGAAATTAACAAACAAACAAAAAATCAGAAAAGATTATTAGATCAACAGTTATCCTAGCATACTACTAAATAAAATAAAATAAATATTGTAAAAATACAAAAAATAAATGGTATTTAAAATAATAGAATATTAAACCAGCCCACAATATATAAAAAATAAAATTGAATATTTGTACTATAATTTTATCAAGTTTTTAGTGTAACAGTACATTTTATTTGCATTTTTCTTACTCTTTTTTCGTTTAAAAAATTATTGAAGACAAATTCATACATTTGACCATTTTTTCATTGCATTATTATCAAACCTAAGGTGTCCCCCATTTCCATGCATCAATAACCAAAAGAAAGTGAAAGATGATATGATTTCATGACGAAAATTAAAGCTTTTCAAATCAATGCTAAACATGAATTATTATAAACAAACAAAAACATATAAAATAAGTACCAATCTACTGACATTTAAATTTTATCACCAAAATTTTTAAAAAATTGGGGATATGTATATAAACACTGCAAATGATGAAAATCTCTATTCTCAAATTACCAGTTTATGTAAAACTTTATAGCAGTTAAGATCTTATTCCATTTTTAAGTCCATTTCCACTATCATGACTATAGGTATAATTTAGATTTGTATATTAAAAACTCTTTTTTATGCATGAGCACTTGATGATCAGTGCAGCAATTTCCCATTTCAATTTTGATTTGTAAAATCACCAAATATTTTTAGGGTAAAAAAAACACATTTAACATAATTTAAAACTGCAAATAAAAAATTGTAAGGAACAAATTATAAACACTTATTGATTTTTTTTTACATTTGAAATATTGTTTTATTTATAAAATACTTTGGCATTTATCTTCGTCCATGTGTTAATTAAATACTAAATAACATAATTTCAGATTTTTGTTTTGATGTTTTTTTTTCCCAAAAAAATAGTCTACAAATTTCATGAAATTCTTGTCACATAAGTTATTTATCGTTTACATGGTAAAAAATATTTTAAACAGAATTTAAGTCTTTGAAAAACTACCTCCCCAAGAAAAACACATAACACTAATGATGTATACAACATAATCATATTAATAAACATGCGAAACATTTATAAAATGCTTAATAACAACATATGAGATGATAAACAAATATAATAAAACATTTCAATTATCTTAAGCAAACCCCTGAATGAAACAATGGAATATTCACACCAACAACATAATAAGAGTAAAAGCAGAAATAGTATGTCAAATGTAAAATTTACAAAAAAAAGTTGCAAAAATAATTCATGCAAGAATCTTTCATTTTTTATATAAATCTGCATATATTTTTTTACAGTTTATAGCCTCTAGAAATTTAAATCTGTACAAAATTTGGCCTGGAAAAAAATTCAGATTTATATAAATGTCCAAAATTATGTATAAGATTCATTCACATTTTTTTTTAAAGTTCTTTCATTATGTATAACATAAAAATTATTGTCAGTCTACAATTTTTATTAGCTATATACTTTTAACTCTTCTCAGAGAAAATAAAAAAAAAATCATAAATTCTTCTAAAAGGCTATGACATTTCTAAGAAAATTCAAAAAGTCTCCACTGGTATTTGTTAAAAAAAATCTACATGATAAACACCTTACATTCACTGTGATTTATTTAAATGTTTAATGCCACTTATTCTTAGCAGGCAATAATGTAGCACAAATATATAGAAAACTATAATATTTTGTGAAAGAGGTCTTTAAAATCCATGACATGCAATTTTTTACATTCTTTATTACATTTATCAAGCAAGTGAAGCAAATTCAAAGTAAATAACAAATGGCAAAATCCATATTACATGCTGTATTAACCTCAACAACCAATATCAGCCCTCTGACTTATATTGGTAACTCAAGTGAATACATCATTTTTCTTACTTTCCATGTATCATTCCCACAAATGTAGAACCCTTTATCTCAATTCATTTAAAAACAAAAAACCGTTTAGAATTCAAAATTAAAAAAAAAAATATTTTTGAGAGCCTTAACAAATTTTCTTTCTGGTTCCTTCAACTTTCTCATATTTTTCCATAATCCTAAATTTTTTTTCATCTTTATCAACTTTTAAATAATTTTTTTTTCTAATTCTTCCAATTGTCTTCTTGCTTTTTTAAAACTTTTTAATCTTTTCATATTTTTTTCTCAGTTCCTACATATTTTGTTACACAATAAACTACTTCCTTCAATTTTTCATCTTCCTTACAAGTTAATGTACTCAAAAAAGCTAGTGATCATCTATAGCTATTGTTGTTTTTACCACAATGGTGTCATACCAAATTGAAATTCATCTAATTTTTGAACTATTGAAAATTTTGAATTAAAAAAAGACTAATAAAAGACATTGAGAATATTCCCAAGGAACAGTAGATAACACAGTGCACACATCCTGGATATTAACCTTGTTAACAAATCCTCTACAACTGAACTCTTTCTTTTCCCACTTGCAATGCTTCTCTGGATCTGACAATGTGTCATAATAGGAAATGATGGGAAACATGTGATCGCTGCATTTAGTATATGAAATATGCGTTATCTGTGACATAAATACACTCATACTGCAGTAATAAATTAACATCAAATATACATATAATGATACACAGTATATAAAAACTATCCATTATAACACTAAACAATAATAATTAGTATATTGTATTTTTTTTCTAAAATCATCTCGTTCTTTTACACTGCATTTAAAAATACCACTGAAAGTCTATGATCAGGTCAAAATCTGCCTCAGTCTGTGAGTTATGTTATTTGAAATGATTTTCTTGTGTAAGATTGATCAACTTTCCAAATTCTAAAATTGATTGACAGGTGTTTTTGACATGGAAATGGCATTGATCGTCAAGCGTCAAAACTGCCTCATGCAACTTTTACCCTAAAATGATCATTAGAAGGTTAACATCATTTATAAAATTTGTCATAATTTGAGCTACTGTTAGCTTCAAATTGAAGAATGTGTTTCTGGTTAATGTTACCCTAAAAAATAATTAAATTGTAATATGGGTTATCCATTCTCATACTGTTGTTATAAAACTAAAATTTATGTGGCTCAATATACTATGTCAGTCAATTTTTTATCAATTTGCAGGAGTAGTCAATGATATTCAATGATATTTTTAGGCATGGTGTATTTTTCTGCTTCAACCTTGACGTTCCTAGTACAATTTACTGGAATTTTCTTCAAATCATATCTTTTTGTTTTGCAATTTTGTAGTATATGATGAAAATGCTTTCTAAAATTTGATTCATTACAAAATACTTTTTAATTGACAAAAGTGAAAATTACTATATCAATTGATCTGAAACCAAAGATATATTAGCATTTGATTGCATAAGGAAAAGATATGTCAAGAAGTCAAAATCTGCACATTATCTTAATATAGAAGAGATTTATGACAAAATTCAAAGATTTTTTATGGGAGGGGCGGAATATTTTGTTTTATATATTTTGTATGTTATATACTTTAAAATAAAAAAGTAGCTTCATCCATTATATAGATCCATTTTGACGATGACCTAAATAAAATTTCGATCGCTTTATAAATTTTCTACACACATCGTGTTGCATATAAAATTCCACATCATATCATTACTACACCCTTCTACCATATACAAACAAAAATCTACGGTAAATTTAAAACCACTCAGTTGCTGCCTCATTAGTACTGAGTACGGGTTTCGTAGGTGGTATGTGTTGTCGTTGTGGCAGTAGCTCCACCAGATGATGTAGTTGTACTTCTGGTTGAGAAGCTGGAACCACTGTCTTGCCATTTACGGAATTGGAAGAAGGTGTCAGCACCCAGGACAACCAGGATAAGAACACAGAAAACCTAAAATGGAATATTAAAACAATATCATAATTGTGCAAGTTTTTTAAATCATTTAAATTTTGAACAAAAACTTATATATGACATGAAAACTCTGGTTTAAACTTTTTCTTTAAATTTTCTGTGAAAATACACAAAGGTATTATTTTGAAATTTGATTCTTTTAAAAAAAGAGCTAATCAACATGGTTAACATAATAAAAATGTCTTGTCTTCATTATAAACTGATTATTACTAAAAAAATATGTTAAAAGTCTTCCAATAAGGGCTTTAATACTCATGATACTACATTGTATTGCACATGAATCAGAAAAACATAACTGATTAATGAACCATTAAAATGAGGTCATGGCCAGGTATCTCCTATCAGATAGGCAAGTATATCTTCCATAGATAAACTATTGTTGGCCTTTTACATATACATGAAGTAATAGAATCAAAGTGTTTGTGAGCATTGAAGGGTAAATATTGCTTTCATCTTCGTTCTTGTCAATTTTTAAATAAAACATTGATAAGATTGATTTGGCAAGTTAAAAATTTGAGTTGGAGCTATCTTCCTTTGTTCATGATTGTATATCTGTAGTTGAACCTATTTTTATAACAGATTCATACACCATGCATTACTTATGTAATTTTTCATAAAAACTGTTTTCTTGCCCAGAATGGTGATTCAAATACACATCATATTGTAACTTAAATATCAAAGTATAACATATCATTAATAAATTGCAATTCAAAATTGAATCAATTTGAGCAAAGATTGGTAAGCTTGTAGTTGGATAAAATTTCCAAGAATTGTCAACCTTCAACTGTGAACTGGCACATTAATAAATAAATGGGGAATATGTGTCCATGGGACACAGATGATGCCCCCGCTTGCATATCATATAAAGTTATAAAAATAATAACTGAAGAACGGTAAAATTGACGCTACCCAAATTTGTTATTGATCTGAATTTTGTAGTAATAAGTATTGTGCATAAGTTTCATAACATTTGGTTGAGGTAAACTTAAGTTTGAGAACAGAAACGAAAAATTCAGCAATTTTTCCTTTTGTAAAGGGGCATAACTCTAGAACAGTAAAAGTGACACCACCAAAAATCAAACTTGATCTGAATTTTGTGGTAATAAGCATTGTGTATATATGTTTCATAACATTTGGTTGAGGCAAACTTAAGTTAGAGAACGGAAACGAAAAATTCAGCAATTTTTCCATTTGTAAAGGGGCATAACTCTAGAACGGTAAAATTGACACCACCAAAATTCAAACTTGATCTGTATTTTGTGGTAATAAGCATTGTGTATATAAGTTTCATAACATTTGGTTGAGGCAAACTAAAGTTAGAGAACGGAAATGAAAAATTCAGCAATTTTTCCATTTGTAAACGGCCATAACTCTACAACGGTTTAAGTGACACCACCAACATTCAAACTTGATCTGTGTTTTGTGGTAATAAGCATTGTGTATAAGTTTCATAACATTTGGTTGAGGCAAACTAAAGTTAGAGAACAGAAACGAAAAATTCAGCTATTTTTCCATTTGTAAAGGGGCATAACTCTACAACGGTTTAAGTGACACCACCAACATTCAAACTTGATCTGTGTTTTGTGGTAATAAGCATTGTGTAAAGTTTCATAACATTTGGTTGGGCAAACTAAAGTTAGAGAATGGAAACCAACTTGGGGACGTATGGACGGACTGACGTACGTACGTACGTACGGACAAGGGTAAAACTTAATGCCCCCTCCGCTACGGCGGGGACATAAAAAACATTTTAGTCTTGAATAAAGTAGATATTAAACTGATTATTATGTTAACACCCATTCATAATCATTATCTTGCACTACATGTGCACTAGTATTCTTCAATTTGAAACATGTTGAAAGGAAAACTAAACAAATTTTTTTACAAATTTTACTCATATTAAAAGTTAAACTAGAGCTGTCTGCATAGAGAGACAAATAACCCCTCACATACATTTGTGTTGCTCCTGTGAAATTCAGTATTGAGACAATAACATTTTGAAATGCTTTTGCTTTCAGCATATGGTTCAAGGTCAAGATCAGAGCGACCTGGTTTTGGTATTTGACACATCCCAATCCATGATGCTTCTGCATACAAAGTTTTGTCAATCTAAGCACTATTGTACAAAAGTTATGCACCAAACAAAAATCAGACAATGATTTACTGTTAAAGGACTCAAAGTCAAGTCATGATGCTTCTGCATACAAATTTTTGTCAATCTTAGTACTATGTACTGTACAAAAGTTATGCAACAAAAACAAATCAGACATTGTTTTACTATCATAGGGGTCAAAGGTCAGAGTGACCTTACTTTTAAATCTGACACATCCCCATCCCTTGTTGCATCATCATACCAAGTTTGGTCAACTTAAGTTCTATGGTACAAAAGTAATGCTCAGGACACAAATCAGACAAAATTTTACTAACATGTGGGTCAAAAGTCAAAGTCAAGGTCAGAATGACTTGACTTTGGTTAACATATGTTTAAAGGGACAGACAGACAGACAGACATACAATGAATAACAGACAGACAGACATATCATGAATACATCAATTAAAGCAAAGCTAGTACTGTAGCATTTATTTTCAGAATGAGAAAGCATAGAACATCATAATAAAATATACTTACACCAGCTGCAACTAAACCAGCACTTTGCTCAATTTTGCCTGACTGGGCAAAACAGACTATGGCAGTAATGAAATAGAATATGACATAAACGACAAAGTATATAAGTATCTGTAAACAAAGGAAAAGATGGCTAATATTAACATGCAAACTAAATCTAAGGTTAACTCAATGTATACTGAGAAATTTTTCTTCCAGTTTTATTTTCGTAAAATTTCATCAACAGCTCTGCGTCTTTTTTATTTTATATATATATATTTTCATCAAAAAAGTTTAATGCCAGTTAGAAGTCAGCAGGTGGAAACTTCACTTGAAAATAAAACTGCAACAATAACTTACAAGTCTACTTGTTTCAAATCATCAGATTTTTCATTCATATATGTATATGAATATTTGATGGCAACCAAAAGAATTTCTTTGATACTGTTAGTAATCTAGTAGATATTTTTCTCTGTCGTTGTATTATATAGAAAGCCTCGTACTACTATTGAAATCTGATGATTTGGATATTTATTGAGTATGACAGAAATAAAGTAAGGCCAGGTAAATTACTTTGCAAACCATTATGCGTTAGAAAACACAATAAGGATCTGAACATCACATGTAAATGCCAAAATACAACATTTCCAAAACAAATTCACTATAATAACTTTGATTGGAAATCTAGAATTTTCTTTGCAGAAGTCCATGATAGACATGCTTTGATCTATTTATGAGTTGTTTTTTTATATAAAACTAGTGTAAAATACATTTTTTCAAGACCGACTTTAATATTTTTATTCAATAATTAACACAAATTTCAATAAAGACCAAATCTGTTCTTCATCTTAGTTATTAAATCTTTTTCTTTTCTTTTTCTAATTATTCATATCTTTCAAATCTCATTCTTAACTGGCCTTACTTCATCATGCAGACTGTATTAAAAGCAAAGCTAGCTACGTAAGGGCTATCCACCTATCCAATTTAAACTTACTAATCTTAGATAATCGTGCATTACACAATTTCATCAGATGTAATATCAAAAACATATATTGAGCTGATGAAGATAAATTGAATGTTAAAAAATCAACTAAATCTAGAAGCATTCATTTTCATCCGTTCAAAGATTAGTAAATTTAAATGGAATAGCCGATAACAAACGATTAAATAAAAATATAAGAAAAGGTATATTCTATTGCATGCTGGGAACTTGGGGATTCATGAACTTACAGCTCCAGCAATTAAACCACCATTTTCATAGTATTTTCCAGCTTGTATGGCACATACCAGAAATGATACTAAATAAAACACACAATATACTACATAGTAAATCAGGACCTGAAATCAAATAGGTATGAAAATATAGTAAACAAAAGATCTCGCAATCCAGACGTACGGAACTTATATAGTGTTATTTTCATTTAATGAAATATGGCATTCTATTGTTTTTTTATTATCATTGATTAAATGACGGTATGTAACACTTCTTTAAGCATACTTTTTTTTATTGGTTGTGAAAGTCAAATGTGAAGAAAAAAAAATACATTGTGTTTTATACAAGCAATGGATATTGTGTAAAAATTCATTTAAAATATTGTGTCAAATTCATTATAAACTAATTTAAAATAATATTCTTATGATTTTGTAAAACATGGTGTATTTTTTTTTTCACTTGTCAGTGTAAAATATGTACAAAGGATCCATAAATATGAAACATAAGTAAAGTTATTCAAGCATGAGCAATACATGAATGTCACAGTGACCTAAATGTTCAGTTTGTTTTCAACTGTAATAGTGAAATATTATACTGTGTAAAGTACAAGATGATGTACAGAAACCAACATATACTGAACTGTGTAAAGGGGCATTAACTACGAATTCCTCAAAAAATTAAAATATTTTTTTTTGTTTCAAATATTTATAAAACTGGAATATAGAAAATATATTTCGAGATCGCTATAATATAAGGCAGTTTTGTCAAAAAAAGCTAAAAATAAAGTCACTGGTGTGTTATTGGCTTGCAGGTCAATAGAATTTGTACTCGTGCAACCTTTTAATTTTATCTTTATTGGAGATAGGTGTGCATGTGTTGAACATGTGGTTCATTCATTAAAAAAAAAAGAATGTCGACATTGAAAAGTGAAACAAGGGAGCCATCAGGAATAACCATTTCATTGAATGATCTAACCCACAAAAAATCCTTCTTATACAGGTAAAACAATGATATACATATATTTTTAATCTATAACATGAAATCAAACAGACCAAGAAAAAATGTCTTTTTACCATTGCATAATGCTTATCTGTTTATTTATATTTAAATTTATGTTTATATAAGGTTAAATGATCTTCTGTAGTTTTCGAAGGTCATCTTGGTAGATAATTACATGGTGTCCAGTTTAAAATACCCACTAAATGCTGATACATAATAACGAATTTATGCATTGTTAATTGTTTCTTATGAACTTTTTGTCATTTGCATATATACGTTTTAGTATGTTAAAAATGTGGGTCAAATCAGTGAACATGAATTGTATTATGATTTTTTTCCTTCATTTTTGCTGATGGGTTGCTGTCTCATTGATAATTGGCCAACAATTCCTTTTATTATTAGTATCAATCTAATTTGGATACAACTTACGATTAACATCCAGGGTCCTGGTAGTTTGTAGATGATACGCAGCATAAAGAAGATCCATAGAATAAGTACTGTAATCAGACAAGATATGCTCACAAACTGTACCCAACCTCCTCCAATGTAGCTGTACCCTGGGTGGGAGGTTACACAGATAAATACAATCAGACTAAGAACCTGAAATATAATATAAAATATATAAACAAATTCTGTAACTTGCAGTTGTGTTTTTGGTTAGCATGGCTAGAGGTTACACAACATGGCAGAATTAGAACAAACATTGCAAAATCAAGTTTTTTTTCGTTTCTTGCTTATACATGTAGTACTCCATAATTCACATCCTGCCTGGCTATTTAGATTTTGGAGTAAAAGGCAGCGGACAATTTAAGACCATATTCGGGGTAACAAGTTTATTTTGTCGATTAATTAGAATAATGTGCATTTGGAGTAAGAATTTTTCAAAAATCACGAGGCAACATCGTGGAATTAATCTGAAAATTGAGGGTGACATAACATAAACTTCTCCTTGGAGCTTTTTAAAGGCAGAGTTGGGAATCCTACGGCTATAATGTCGTTCACTTCCCCTGGTGTAGTGATCCCTAATAATTCAATTTAAGAATTAGGCCTCATACATTATGTTTATAATATACAAGAAAAACACAATACATACATACACCCAGGGAACTCAAATGAAATACACCTTTAAATGAAGGTTATAGAGATTATCCAAATCAGTATTGGACCTGACTAAATTGTAAGTCTAAATCAATTAGAACATCTATCCCAGGATATCTGGATATAATTCATACTTGGTAAAACTTGAACAAATGATAAAATTTAGATAATAATTCTCTATTCTCAAATTATTTGTTAAACAGTGAAACATTTCTAGATACAAATATCAACAAAATGTGCAAAACTTTAAAATATTTCTTATTTTATTAAAATACTACAGCTGATGAGGACATTTGTGTAATTTTCCCTCAAAGTATTTTTTTTTCTTCAACTGAAAATACTTTTCTACTCCTTTAAATTTCCAGTAATAGAAATGATATAAAATGTACCAACTACCCCTTAAATGCAGCACTGGTTTTGAAATAAAATTACCATTTCAGCTATTTTCAATATGGAATCTATAGATTTCATGTAAATTTTATCCAATCCAACATCTCCACTAGAGCTAGTTGTGGTTGTTGTTTTCTCTGTGGATTCAACATTATATTGGCTGTCCATCTTGAGACTGTTAGGTAAAGAGGACTATCTTTAAAATCTATGTGGAATTCCTGAAAAAAATGAAAGTAACTAAATTCGATTGACCAGATTTACCTTTAAAATCAAATAAAATCATCATTTTTTTAACACCCTCTTTAACACAAACAAAACACTCAAAAACATCTTCCACAAAAAAAGTATATTTAATAAGATGAATGATTCAAATAACAAGCATTCTGAGAGTATTAAATGGCAATACATAGTCCCCTACCGGGTAAAAATTCATTATAGTGGAACAAAAAGCTAACTTGTTCTATAACTTGTCATGGTGTAAACAAAAAGAAAATATCAAGTTAATATCTTCAAGCATGACTAAAAACAGTGTGGAAAACTGGTTAAATGAGAGAATTTTTCAAGTCCAAGGACCATAACTCTGCACAAAATTATCAGACCGAAAACAAAATTTCGAACTTGATCTGTATAACTTGTCATGATAAAACTATATACCAATTATCAATCAATATCTTCAAGCATGATGAAAAAAAGTGTGAAAAACACTTTAACATTAGATATGATTAATAGTTCTCTAAAATTAGATACAGTGTATATCTATTTTCAAATTATAATCAAATATAATTAATAGTTCCAAATATTTTTTCTTTTATTTGTCACAAACTAATATAGATTTGTAACTTATCTATAAAATGTCAACAATTTTTATCTACACAATGTAATGTAATATATACATTGATAAAAATAAATTATTATCTAATTAAAGGATTTCACTTCATAATTTTTTTTTTTTATATATATATATAGCATTCAGAAAATTAGTTTATACAAAATAACAAGCAAACCTGCCAAAAAATTCTTCAAATAATTTACCAAAGAATGAGTTATCTCCCTTTGTACAGAAATATGGTTTAACATAGTACTCTAACATTAGATATGGTCCAGAGTTATGGTAACTCTGGACTAAATCATCAGACTGGAACAAAATTTGAACTTGATCTATAACTTGTCATGGCAAAACTATATACCAAATATCAAATCAATATCTTCAAGAACGTAGAAAAAAGTGTGGAAAACTGATTTGCCGGACTGACGGATGGACAGACGGACGCACAGACAGACGGACAGAGTGCAAACCTAATAATCAATCTTACTGGTGTATAAATAAATAGGGTGATTCCTGTGGTTGGGGTTCCCCTGGATGATAACACTCTCAATTATGACCCTGATCTGCTGATATGAAACTTGTAATCTCTGAGAAGTTCACCTATATTTACTGGCATTCAAACAAATCACCACAGAGGGATGTTTAACTGATTCACCTTGTCTGTACACCATGAATAAAAGTTTTTATGTCAACTACTGTGAATTCAGAAATTATTGCGTGCATTTATTATTGCGATTTTGTCATTTTAGACTAAAATGCGATTTTAATTTTTGCGATATTGAGAAAAATCCTGTTTAAATCATATAAAATATTTCAAAATGCGAGTTTAAATTATTGCGATTATAACCCTGTCGCATTTTTCGCAATAATAAAAACATCGCAATAATTTCTGAATTTACAGTAAATCAAGTTGAATCTAAAAGGCAATAACTCAAATTATGTTACCATCCCATAATAAGTAACTTTGTGATTGACAAACATGTATTCAATTGCTAGCCTTTCCTTTAATATAGATGTATTATGGTGCCTCAGAAGATATAGTATACACCAGCAACCTGTATTGATGATATGCATACTTAACTATAATGAACAAGAGTGCACACTCTTAAAATGTCTTGATTTAATGATTGCACTTCATGTTGAGAGTGACGGTTTTCTGAGTCTTTGAGATTAAGGTATTATCTCAGGTATAACAAAAATAAGTTTTATCATAAATCAAACAAATAAATCTTGAAAGTCATATAATTCTTCACAGTAAAATCAGATCTAATTGTAAGCTTTAACTGTAAGTCAAGCTACAACAGTTTTCTATCAGCACCACATTTATCACCAGGAAAACTACAATGAAGCTAGTTTGTCTAGGGAAATATTGTGTGAATATTTATAAAATATAACAAGAATATTTACATCACTCATTAGCCTGTTAAAAAGTGACATTATCAGGCATTTATATTTATAAACAAAGTTGTTGAGAAAAATCTTTTGAATATATTATTTACTCTTATACAATATTAAATTCCTGTATGTTTCAGCAATGTTCCAATTTTGACTAAGTAAGAGGGGAAATTGGCTCTACCTCTTTGCAGTGTTTGCACTAAAGAAATTCTGTAACTTTGCACATTGTTACATGATTATCTTATTAATTAAACCAACAAGTTGGCAGTAAATAATTGTCATTTTGTTTCTTTATATCACAAGAATTTGGCAGATATAGTCCTGTAGCAATGTATATAACGATTTCCATCTACATGAAACATGTAATTGGTAATTATTTTCTAGTGTTAATGTAGTCTGCAACTCTGAGCAGTGAATGGAGAAAATAAGCTGTTTTTTATCAAGTTGTGTTATGAGTATGAAGTTAATCATTGTGTAACACTTATTATTGTGTAACATTTATTTCAAGGTTTGCAGTTAATTTGTCAGACAATGACTATTGGAAACTGCTGTGCTACATGTACTTAGAAACTATATACACTGCTTGCAACAAGTTGTTTCATTATAGGTAGTATTTATTGTTCGTATATATTCCAATTTTCATGGTTTGTGAAAAGTACTGTAAATTCAGAAATTATTGTGCAGTTTTTATTAATGTGAATAATGTGCTTGGTGATTTATCACATTAATAAGAACTTGTATTCTGATATCTGATACATATATCTGTATTCAGATTTTCCTGAAATTGCAATAATTAATCTAGCAATTTTGTCCATTCTTCTAAAATCGCAATAATAGATACTCGAAATAATTTCTGAATTTACAGTAGTTGGTTAAAGAGAATTTGGTCATTTAATACTTTACACATTACAAAACAATGTAAAAAATACATATGCATTTGTTTGAACATGTATTAAATTCTATAGATTTGATATTGCAATTTATAAAATGTAAATTGTACCTGTAAGTACATGATGTATTTTCATAGTTTTCTTTTTCTCAAGAAATATAACCAATTCACAATAAAGGGTGACAATACCTGGGACCAATATATAAATAATATGTATTAGTCCCAGACAATACTCAGTATTTAAGAATGTTGGGACCATCCATCCATCCATCCACAAATTTAAACCTCAATGCATGAAACTTCTATGAATTTCTTCATAAAAAAAATCCCTATTTTTCCCATACTAAAATATTTTGGACAATCAGTCTTTTTGTTTATTTACCTATCCTTTTGACTTTTTTCAAAACTGAAACTGTGTACATTCAATACTGTTTCGTGCAAAATGTTTCAATGTAGCACTGGGCTTAATGACAAGAAATTATAAATAGGTTCATGCATTTTTCAATGTACATATTTATTGATTTTTTGGTTAGAATGATAGTAAAGCATAAAACATTTTACTCTGCATTCACAAATATGTAAATCTATTGATCAACCTTACAATTTCTAGTTATATAATGTCTATACAGTAATCCAACAAAATGTGTATCATCAGATTGATGTGCAGTTATCACCAATATTTCTATTCCGAAAAAAACAACTCCTTCATTTATAAGTCATGATGTGACCACTTAATTCATTTATACAAATTTGTTGCAGATGATAAGATTTGTAGAACATCAATCAGATATGACATCTTAAAATACATATATATGTATATAATGACCATGTACAGAAAAAAATATCTGAATAACATTTAGCCTTGGTCATACATGTACATGTGTGTATACTTCATCCTCTAATACATGATCTGACTTGATATGAAAAATTAATAAACATAGAAGTAGTTGATACATTTGTACCTTGAGCATTCCCACTTATGCTGAAAACATCTACATAAAAACTTTGACATTATCTAGGGCCTTCTGGCCTTAACAATACATACTTACTACCTGTTAAACAAGGTTACTAAAATTCTTTCGTCCAGGTGATGACTTAATATAATTTTAAAATGACAACAAAACTCAACTCATGAAACATTCATTTCTTATAACAATGAAAAGAAATTCAGATACTTCAAACATAGAATGGATTTCCCATTGATAAAGGAAATAAAACCTTCCTGTTAGAAATATCTTGACAGATGAAAGATATATATATTTTCAACTTATCATATTTATCTATCATTCAGATGTAATGTCTGTTACTAAACTTTTGGTTGTTTTTCTCTAAGTTATTTCATATCAATGTGACAAAATAACCATAAGATTACATGTTTACATGACTGAGGATGTCAAAGTCCATTGATGATAAACAAGATAAAATAGAGGAAGCTCTCTGTATCATGTGAACTTGTATCCTTTAAAAAGTCTTTATTTTTAAAGGGTTTTTATGAATTGAGATGCATTCATTTACCCAGAAGTGGAAATCAGAGAAAAAGATTCCCATTTATAAGTACCTTAATAAAGTCTGTCGAAATGTGTAAAATATAAATATAAAACTAGAACAAGAGTGCACACGCTGAAATGTCTCGCCTTCTTTACTAATCATTGATATTATGTTGATAGTCCTAAATATAAAGCTTTATTACAACTGTCACATAAACTTAACATTAACCAAGTAAACTAAACATTGACCAATGAACCATGAAAATGAGGTCAAGGTCAGATGAACCATGCTAGGCAGGCATGTACAGCTAACAATTCTTCCATACAACAAATATAGTAAACCTATTGCTTATAGTTTAAGAAAAACAGACGAAAACACAAAAACTTAACACTGAGCAATGAACCTTGAAAATGAGGTCAAGGTCAAATAAAACCTGCGTGACTGACATATAGATCATAAAATATTTCCATACACCAAATATAGTTGAACTATTGCATATAGTATTAGAAAAAAAGACCAAAACTCAAAAACTTAACTTTGACCACTGAACCATGAAAATGAGGTCAAGGTAAGATGACACCTGCCAGCTAGACATGTACACCTTACAATCATTCCATACA